GCTGTACATTCGGGGGTGACGACCAATCCCCTTGCTGTAGTCGTCCCCCCACCACTTGTTGGTCTTCTGGCCTCTGTGCCAACCCAAGTTATTGCAGAGCCTCTATTATCTGCTGCAAACTCAGAGATTTTTGATCTCCGACCTGCAGGACCTGCCATACCCCCCCCCCATTGCTGCAGGGCACCCAGACTAGGTAATCGATATGAACATTGGTCTGGGGAATCGCTATCCCAGCGGCTGCCCAGGCCCTCATCTCATCAGCGGCGGTTAGGTCTTCTGGAAGGTCAGCACCTGGGGCTGTCTCTGTCCGTGGGACTGGAAGCCCTGGCAGGGGGCTTCAGGAGCAGGAAGGCTGCCTGCTCTGCGAAGGAGGGGCTGGGGACTCCTCTCGGTAGGAGTTGGTTGTTCTGATCTCTGGCGTATGGGGAATGGGATGATTGTTCCCCACTTCTCATTTCTAGCTCCTCAAATTTCTCTACCAATTTCTCTACTGACTGCGAGCTGCGGACAGATATTTCCACTCACCCAGGTCCTCAGTGGCATACAATCTGGTAGCTCTCCCCCAGTCTGGAAAGTGCAATATGTGGGAATCCTTTCGTGGTAATCCAGTCTGGTCCGCCTTTAAGGCCTTTAAGGGTGGCAAGGCCGACACGAAGTATGTGGAGTCTCCGCTGGGCTGTACCCAATGTGACGACCAGATTAGCTGTCCTAGCTGCTTGGATTTCGCCCCCAGCTGAGAGACCTGCAAAAGCTCCTTCTCTACCGGCGTGCTGGTTTTCGCTTCCCCCCTTGTGGTAGCAGCTTCAGGCAATTTCTCCCACTCCATGGCGAAATCTTCCCCAAATCTTCGTCAGCTTATCCCTCAATGCTAGGGACAGCGACTGGGGCTCAGGACCCCTAAATAATTAGGAAAGTTGGAGATTTTGGCTTAATGTCATGGTTCCAACAGATGAAACTCTTCAAAGAACTTTGAGGCATTGTTTACCTTAAAGAATCTTTATTCGAGTAGCAACACATCGGCACGTATAGTCCAAACCAAAATCTGGCTTCCCCTCCCCTAAGCACATAGTATCACAGTACGGTGCCCTCCTTCAACTAACTGTCATAAATCACATTCTGCAATTAGTTTGAAATGCTAATTTTCACACCAGTTCTACAACCCGCCATGTCTTATCATCTCTTATTACAAAGAACCTTGGTTCCCACCATTATACATTATTGTTTTCTCTAACTAAACTCCCAAACACATTCCTCCCCCTCCCCCCAGTATCATCTAATTCTAACTCTAAGAGTAAAACCTAAAATAAAGGAAAATGGCTGCGTCTCCATATGTTGTCAAAGCAAGAACAATCGATGTTAGCAGCATTGACACTAGTATCACCAGTCTCAGTAAAAGTAGATCAAAGTTTCCTCTAGTTTTCTGTTCTTTATATGTATCCTTTATAATATAATAGATTCCAAAGTATAGGTTCAGTCCTGAAAGCAATATTTTATAATAATTCTTTGTGTCAAGTATCCAAGAACTGTCAATCAGGCAAGGCTGTAATCCACAATGTTTGTAGTGTTTAAAATGTTCAACTTCTCTGAAAACAGCTCAAAGGTCACTCCCAGCCAGGCATAGTCCATGGTTAAATTTTTCTTTCTCTCCCACTAGCTCTTGAAGTTAAAAGTCCAAGCTCAGTATGTATTTATAATCCAAGAAGGTCACAGTGATAAGTATGCCAAAATATTTTCCTTTATTACCAGCTGTTCTCCTGAGCTAGGAATCACCAAGCAGCCAGGAAGCAAATTATAGTGCTATACACAAATCCACCACTAGAAAGTCCACTTTGAAAGTCCATTTTCCACTTTTAAAACAAAGAATTGATTTCTTATATTTCGCTTCAATGTTTTTTTTCAAAGAGAAAATCTTAACAGTTATCTCAATTCTCAAATTTATCAAAACTGTAGCTTTATGTTACTTCCACTTCAGTACTGTCCTCCATAAAATTAAAATGCCGCTTCTGTTTACATTCAGAGGTTTTTAGCTTATGGAAGCCTTTCCGAAGAAATTCAGTTGTAATATAGTAAAGAAAGGATCAATATTCTCACCCATTACTAATGTGGTATGTTTTCTACATACATTTGTTAACTGGTTGGCAAAGAGTTCATCTATTTCTTCTGATTGGTTGGGTGGTCTGTAATATACACCAATGGCAATGTCACTTTTTTTTCCCTTTTCTATTGACCCATATACATTATGGAGGGATTTTATCTTTGATTACGTGCATTTCTGTAGATAGGTAATGTTCTCTTACATATAGTGCAACTCCTTCCCCTCTTTTTGTAGATCTATTTCTTTTGAAGAATTTGTATCCATCTATCAGTACATTCCAGTCATGGGTTTCATCCCACCATATTTCTGTAATGCCAACTATGTCATACCTGCCCTCATGTACTATTGCTTCTAGTTCAGCCTGTTTGTTCCCCAAGCTTTGAGCATTTGTATATAAAAATTTAAGACCTTTATGTCTATCCGAGGGTATGTTTCCTGCATCTCCTGATTGTTGTTGGAGTTTTTCTTTTTTTCTCACCACTCCCTACTTCATTGTTTGATTTGTTTTCTTGGGATTTATGACTGGTTTTATTGGTCACTCTTCCCTCTCTATTTTAGTTTAAAGCCCTCCTGATGAGTTAGGCCAGTCTTTTTCTGAGTACATTTTTCCCCATGCAGCCCATCCCTTGCTAAGTGTCTTTCGCGTAGGAAATGTAGTCCATAGTCCAGGAAACCAAAGTTTTCTTGGTGACAAATCTCACAGTCTACTGGTTTTTAGCCTGGTGCCTTAACCTCCAGACCAGTGATTCTCAACCTGTGGGTCGCGACCCCTTTGGGGGTCGAATGACCCTTTCACAGGGGTCGCCTAAGACCATCGGAAAACACATATTTCTGATGGTCTTAGGAACCTGTCTCGCTTTCAACTCCTCCTAAAATTCTTCATTCAGGCAAGTTTCCAGAGTTCGGCCGGCAGGATGCAGGTAACCCCTCCCCCGTCCTGCCACCTCCCATGGCACCATGCCGCTCTGCATCCTGCGCCTCAAGCCTACGTGGCACAGAACCGCTGGCATGGTCCCGAAGGGCCGCTGACGCATTCCCCGCCGCCGGCAACCATGCAAGCCCTGGCAATTGCTCCAGCCGAAGAAGTGGGTGGCTGGGAGGCCGCCGCAGCGCCGATCTTCTGCGCCCATCAGCTGGTGACCCCCTGAATGTGCACTTGTCAGCTGGGAGGTCTGGCGATGGAGCCAGCCAGCGTGGAGGGCAATGGGGAGGTGGCAGCTCAGCGGGCAGGTTCCTGCCTGCCAGCGAATGTCGGGTCCACGGGGCTCGACACAGAGTCGACGGTCCAACATAACTTCCTCCTCCACTGAGAAAGAAGCAATCTCTCCCACCCGTGTCCCTTCTCCCCCCCCCTCAAGCGACAACAGGAGGTTGCAGACAACTAAGTCAGCCGGTGCAGGAAGCCCTGGAATGGCCAGTCCAGGGCACCTGGTTGCAGTGCTGGATGTCTTTTGCTCTTCCTAGAAGCCGGTGGCAAGAGAAAAAAGTTGTTCAAACTTCAAGCTAGCTACTGGACGCCTATTCACACTTTTTTCCCTTTTTTTTTTGAGTACTTGTCTGCCAACTCACCCCATCTGTAAAAGAAAAAGTCACCCACCCAAGCATAACTTTTAAGGATTTTAAGGATCTTTTAGAGGAGGAGAGGGAGAGAGAAATAGAGAGAGGGAGAGAAAGAGGGAAAGAGAAATAGAGAGAGGGAGAGAAAGAAAGAGGGAGAGAGAGATTAAATTAGTAACATGGCTGTTAAGTGAATTTGGTTTCCCCCATTAACATTGCTTGTCAGAAGGTTGCAAAAGTCGATCACATGACCCTGGAACAATGTGACCATCATAAATATGAATCAGTTGCCAAGCATCGAAATGTAAATCATATGACCCTGGGGATGCTGCAACAGTCATAAGTGTGAAAAATGGTCATAAGTCACTTTTTTCAGTGCCGTTGTAACTTTGAACAGTCACTAAGCAAACAATCAAGGACTACCTGTACTTTATCACTTTTTTCCATTTGTAACAATGAAAATACATCCTGCATATCAGATATTTACATTACGATTCATAACAGTAGAAAAATTACAGTTATGAAGTAGCAACAAAAATAATTTTATGGTTGGGGGTCACCATAACATGAGGAACTGTATTAAAGGGTCATGGCATTAGGAAGGTTGAGAACCACTGCTCTAGACCAAAATTACTTAAGGTAAGAAGCAGGACTACTATCTTTTAGAAAATGAGAGATTATCCCAGAGTTCTTCATCCTTCACAGCAAGACTGCCCCTTCCTTTATGAAGGAAAATTTTCTATTATTTCAAAGAAATAATCAATTTTTATGTGCTGTATTTAGTACATGCCAGAATTATACTGTTTGGCAGAAGCTTTTGGAGCAAACTCTTATTGCTCATGCAGCAGCAGGCAACTCCCATAGTTCTGTGTCTTTTCTTGCATCAATCTCCATCAATCTCGTATTACTTCTGTCCTGGTCAAATGGCATATGGAAGGAGGAAGTTACTTAAAGGCCAGGGATCTTAGCATTACCTAGCGCTGGTCATTGAAAATAATCCCTCATCTCATCATACATTCACCATTTCTTATCTAAGAAGAACAAAAGTAAAAAAAAGTGATCTGATATTTATTTAGGTTATTCCCAAAGCAAAGCATATCAGCTGGGAAGACCATAGACCAAACGATAAAAGAGGATCTGCTCTGAGAAAAGGAAGTACTGCATGATGTAAAACAAAATATTAATCTGAGTTTTTGTTCTGTCATACTAGCATGCAGGGAGTTGAAGCTCATCGTCTCATAAATTCCACTTTCTTGGCCATATTTTTCCTTGGCTAACCCCCTCAGAATTAAAACAATCTTGATATTTGCCACAATTTCATTTCTAAAGAATAAAGATTAACCCTCACCTGCACTGCCTGCCGCTCATAGAGTGTCATTTGCGATATCTGAGGGCGAGTGCTTCCACCAGAGCCTGAGCTGCCACTGGCTGAATTTGAATTCTGCTCACTTTCAGTTTCCATCGTAATCAGGTCCCAAGGATCCCTGTCTGAAGTTTTGTTTGAAGCCCTAGAAGAATGAATTAGGATTACCTTATGTGAAAAACATACATACATTGCAAAATTATTTGAATATTTTCTGTCTGAAATATAAATTTATGCCAGGTATCAAAATCTACCTATGATAGAGGGAGTATTAGTAATATAGATCTCTATTTAATTAATCATCCAAAATTACACAAGATTTGTTTTACTAGATAACTGTGTTTCTTCAACGATAAGGCAAAATTTAAAAACAATGAAGTGATGAGACATGTTAATTTTTAAAGCAAATATTTATGACTTTTCAATTAAGAACCAAGAAGTGGGAATAGGACTATTTAACCATGTAGTCCACACTATATGAAACTTGTAATGAAACAAATATGAAGTTTCTGAAAATAATTTCTGACTCTAATATAAGTACATAATTATGGTATCACATTCTTACACAGTACAGCTTGAATTTACAGACATTTGGTAAGGCATGGAGTTATACATACATCCAGGAAATTTCATGGTAAGATTCCTAATATCTAATGTATGTTTTGCAAGCTGAACTAAGTGATATACTTGAAAAATGCTATAGATGTTTCAATATTAACTCACACGAGAAGTCCAAAAATTGACCTCCTTATGCACCAAAGGTCTCAAAATACTTTATAAAACACTTCAATTTGAGGCAATTACCTGATGTGCAGATTTTTTTCTCTGCTATCCCATTAACTTCTAAATGTTGCTGAACTATAGAGTCCCAGTTTCTGCATCACAAGGCATCAAGCTCATTGGGAAGCAATTTTCTCTGTGTTAATCTTGTATGGAACATATTCCGCATACAGGAAATACAGGGAACAATCACTTTGTCTACATAAATAAAAGCCCCACTTCATGCAGAGAAAATACATCCTTACTCTCTTCTATGCCTTATGCAAAGTAAAGTTAGGTATATTGCTCACTTATCACAGCAATTAGGCCAGTGGTTCTCAACCTGTGGGTCGGGACCCCATTTGGGGTCGAATGACCATTTCACGGGGGTCGCCAAACCACACTGTCTGCCATTTTTTCCCTTTTCCCTAGCTGTCCTACTCCCTCTTATTGGTGGCCACACCCACTTGGGGGTCACCACAACATGGGGAACTGTATTATGGGGTCACGGCATTAGAAAGGTTGAGAACCGCTGAATTAGGCTAATGTTAAAGATTGCTAAGCATTGTATTTGCCTTATGACCCAAAGGAAGATCTTCAAGAAGATGGGCCATTTCTTCCCTGAAATCTTCCCCCAATGTCATGTGATTATTAAGTGTAAGGTAGAGAAATTCCAGATCTTTACACAACTTTAGGCTAGCTACCTTCTATTTTGTAACTCTTTAGAAAGTTTACAATTTCTGGTGATACTACATAGCAAAGTCTTGACTTACCAAAAGTCATTTCAATGAACTGGTCACATGTTTTCTTTTTGAATAACTGCTAGAGCTGGAGGAAATTATCATTAATTACTTAAAAGAATATACAACCACAACAAAACTAATGTGAAAAAAATTAAAATTAGTATCTGAATATTGATTTTACTGTTTGGACCACTTATGGCAACATTTACAGCTCTTTAATAATACATAAACTTTCATAGAAGAATGCCAATAATATTCCATTAGGATGATGTGGTGGTAGTTAATTTAATATACAGTTTATGAACCGTTTTTTTTTGTTTGTTTGTTTTTTTCTTCAATCTCCAATCCTCTACCAGAGCTGTTCCTAGCATTGCACTCTTCTGGAGTTTTGACATTTTTTTCTGGGGTTTGTTGGAGCCATTCTCCCAGTTTAGGAGTCATAGCCCTGAGTGCTCCTTCCATCACTGGGACCACTTTGGCTTTTTCCTTTCTACATAGTCTCTGGTTCCTCCTTTAGGCCCTGGTACCTCTCCAGCTTCTCATACTCCTTTCTGATGTTGCCTTCACCAGGCACCAGTACATCTATCACCATTGCTGTCTTCTGGTCCTTGTCAACTACCACAATATATAGATGTTTGACCAATATCTTCATGTCAATCTAGATATGGAAGTTATACAGGATCCTAATCCTGTTATTCTCCACAACTTTCCATGGAATCTCCCTTCTGGAGGTCCAGCCCAACGATAGTGACACGGCACAACATTTTGGGTGACATGCCTCCATTCATCAACAACCAACAACAATTAATTCTTGAAAGCATGCTCTATTCTCTCATGTTTTTTGGAGGCTGCATGAGGAGATCATGAGAAAATGGGGGGGGGGGTGTTACTCTTTCCTTCTTATTTATTTATTGAGTTTTATAAGGTTGGGGAAGGGATAGGACCAGGATAGGGATTAAGGTTCGGGGTGGGGTTGGGACAGGATTGGGAACAACATTGGGGTTGCCCCCCAGTAACATTTTCAAGCTTTAGCAAATAGACTATTATCCGGATACATATGTTCAGTTAATACCAATTAATATAATAGTAAATAACTGTAGTGAATGTGATAAACAATAATCATAAACAGTATCAGTTGGTCAATACATATCATTCTTCTTATTAATATATATTCAAAGTAACATATCACATTCATTTCTTACTAATTCATTTTCCTAACCATTGGTAAAATTTATCCTATGTTTTAAAATAAACTGAATTTTCTTTCTCTTTAATCTCTAAGGTTAGTCCAGGGGTAGGCAACCCAAAACACTCAAAGTGCCACTTAGACCCGTTTCCCACCGAAAACAAAACACTGGGAGCCGCAAAACCCTTTTGACATCTAAAATGAAGATAAACACTGCATATATCCTTTTTTACCTTTATTACAGGTATGTACGTATGTATGTATGTATGTATGTATGTATGTATGTATGCATGCATGCATGCATGCATGAGATAGATAGATATATATCATAAAGGTTAAAAAGGATATATGCAGTATTATCTTCATTTTAGATGTCAAAAGGGTCTCTCTCCCCCTCCCTCTCCCTGCCCTTGGTTTGCCAGTCCTCTTCCCCCACTTAGTGTGTGTGTGTGGGGGGGGCACTTGCGCTCCCCCCCTCTTTCTTTCTTTCTCTCTCCCTCCCTTTCTCTTTTATTTATTTATTTATTTATTTATTTATTTATTTATGAGACTTATATACCGGTTTAAGTGCAAGTACTCTCTAAGCGGTGTACACCAGTAAGCAATGTATATATATATTTACATTGCCCCCAACAATCTGGGTCCTCATTTTACCTACCCCGGAAGGATGGAAGGCTGAGTCAACCTTGAGCCGGTGAGATTTGAACCGCTGACCTGCTGAACACAGTCAGCTAAAGTGGCCTGCAGTACTGCACTCTAACTGCTGCGCCACCTAGGCTCTTTCCTCTCCCCCTTTCCTCTCCCTCCCTTTCTTTCCTCTCCCTCTCTCTTTCTCTCTCTCTCTCTATCCCTCTCACTCTTTCTCTCTTCCTCTTTGCTCTCTCTCCCTCTCTCCGATCTTCTGTTCATCTGGCAAGCTGGCTTCAAGCTGTTCTCCAACAAGCTGACACACATTCTTATTGGGCTAGCTCAGGGGTAGGCAACCTCGGCTCTTTTATGACTCATGGACTTTAACTCCCAGAATTCCTGAGTCAGCATAGCTGGGCTAGCTAGCTCTCTCCTGCCTTTCCTGCTTCCTGCATAGACGCAGCAAAGGGAGAAGCCCCACCCACTAAGCTTTTCAGCTCATCAACCAGGGTGAGGCTGCTCTTTTTTACAGAGAGAGAGAGAGAGAGAGAGAGAGAGAGAGAGAAGGGAAGTGCAAGTGCCTCTCTCTGCCTCTGTCTCTCTCTGCAAATGGCAGAAGAGGCTGGGAGCTGCAGAAGAAGACTCAAAGAGCAACATGTGGCTCTGGAGCCGCAAGTTGCCGACCTGTGGGTTAGTCTATCCATTTCTGCACATTCTAAAATTTTCTTAATTAAGATCTCTTCAGTTGGAAAGTTTTCATTTTTCCAGTAATGGGCAAATACTATTCTCGCTGCTGTCAATACATGCAATATTAAATACTCATTCTCCTTCTTGTACTTAACTCCTAATATTCTTAATAAAACAGCTCTGGTTTAAATTCTATCTGTATTTTGGTCATTTTTTCCAGCCATGTATGTATCTTAAGCCAGAACTTTTTCCCTTTAGGGCATACCCATCAAATATGGTAATAAGAACCTGGCCTTTGTTTAGATTTCCAGCAATTATTCAAAGTATTTTTAAACATTTTAGCTAATCTTACTGATGTCATAGGCCATCTATAAAATATTTTATACAATTTTTTTAATATGAAACTTCTTTAGTCAATTTGATGTTTATATCACTTAATTTTTGCCAATCTTCCAAACCTATAGAATATCCAAAGTTTTTTGCCCATGTTATCATTGTTTCTTTTACTTGCTCTTCTTCCATCTTCAAGTTTAGTAGAAATCTGTAAAGTTTCTTGATCAGATTTTCATCTGTTTTTAATAATTTTTGATCAAATTCTGTCCTTTATATAATCCCATTGTCTTTGCATCTTTTGTACATCTTGTTTGAATTTGGAAATATAGCCACCATGCTAAGTCAATACCTTGTTGTTGTAAATCTTGTCTATCTTTCAATGTTCCTTCCTTATCCAGGATATCTTTATAGGTGATGACTTTGTCATAGTTAATTAAATTTGGGTAAGCAAAAGCTTCCATTGTTGAAAGCCACTCAGGTAGTTTAATATAATTTTCTGCTTTATTCTTTCCCATTCTGAAAGGAATACATTCCTTATAAAGTGGTTTTGGAAGTACTGTATCTATGTGTTTTATTTTTCTCATACCATAGGAAGGCATGCCAACCAATTTGTAGGTCATGCCCCTCTAGATACAATAGTCTTTTATTTCTCAGCATTATCCATTCTTTAAGTTATGATAGAATAGCTGCTTGATAATATAGTCTCTAGTCCGGGAGTCCAAATCCTCCACTACCTTTAGCTTCTTGTAGCATTTTCACTTTTTTTCCCTTGCCAAATAAATCTCAATATTCTTGTGTTTCGGTCATCAA